CCTAAAAACCCAGCCCAGAACATCCCAAAAAACCAGCCCAGAACATCCCAAAAACCCAGCCCAGAACATCCCAAAAAAACCCAGAACATCCAAAAAAAAACAGAACATCTCAAAAAAACCAGCCCAGAACATCCCAAAAACCCAGAGCAGAATATTCAAAAAAACCCAGAAGAGAACATCCTAAAAAACCCAGCCCAGAACATTCCAAAACCCCAGCCCAGAATATCCCAAAGAAAACCCAACTCAAAATATTCCAAAACACCCAACCCTAAATATCCCAAAAAAACCCAGAACATCCCAAAAAACCCAGCCCAGAACATCCCAAAAAACCCAGCTCAGAATATCCCAAAAACCCCAACCCCAAATATCCCAAAAAAAACCCAGAACATCCCAAAAACCCAGAACAGAACATCCCAAAAACCCAGAACAGAATATTCCAAAACACCCAACCCTAAATATCCTCAAAAAACCCAGAACATCCCAAAAAACCTCAGCCCAGAACATCCCAAAAACCCAGAACATCCCAAAAAAACCCAGCCCAGATTACCCCAAAAAACCCAACTCTAAATATCCAAAAAAAACCCAGAAGGTCCCAAAAACCCAGAATAGAACATCCCAAAACACCAACCCTAAATATCCTCAAAAAACCTGAATATCCAAAAAAACCCGGTCCAGAACATCCCAAAAAACCCAGCCCAGAACATCCCAAAAACCCAGCCCAGAACATTCCAAAAAACCCAACACTAAATATCCCAAAAAAAAACCCAGAACATCCCAAAAAACCCGGCTCAGAACATCCCAAAAACCCAGAACATCCCAAAAAACCCAGCTCAGAATATCCCAAAACCCCCAACCCTAAATATCCAAAAAAAACCCAGAACATCCCAAAAACCCAGAACAGAACATCCCAAAAAACACAACCCAGAGAATCCCAAAAAACCCAGCTCAGAATATCCCAAAACCCCCAACCCTAAATATCCCAAAAAAACCCAGAACATCCCAAGAAAACCAACCCAGAACATCCCAAAAAACACAGCCCAGAACATCCCAAAAACCCAGAACATCCCAAAAAACCCAGCTCAGAATATCCCAAAACCCCCAACCCTAAATATCCAAAAAACCCCCAGAACATCCCAAAAACCCAGAACAGAACATCCCAAAAACCCAGAACATCCCAAAAACCCCAGAACATCCCAAAAAAGCCCCATCCCCGCCAACAGCGGAGCTTCGCTATTCCCAAACCGCCCCGGGAATTCCTCCCAAACCCGGCCAAGAAGCAGGAGGGGGCGGGAGGGCGAGGATTTCTGGGAATCTCATCCCTAAATCCCGGCCGGCTCCCGGGGAAAGCCGAGCCCCGGCTCACCTGGGCCGATCCCAGCCCAGGGATGCTCCCAGCTCCCCTGGGCCTCCTCCAGCATCCCGCGGGTCAGCTCCAGGAGCGGCTGGAAGAGGTGCTGGAAGCCGTGCTGGGGGTGCAGGGGATGCCGGAAAAAGGGATAGAGATCCCGGGAAAAGCGGCGGGCCGGCGGGAGCCGCACGCGCTGCACGGGGGGGGGGCGGAAGGATTCCCGGAAAGGTTCCCGGAAGGATTCCCGGAAGCCCCCGAAGGGCGCCTGGAAGAAGGGGAGCGCGCGGCCGAAGGGGCGGGAGCCGTCCTGGAAGATCCCGTCGATCCCGTCCTCCAGGAGCCCGAAGCGCTCCTCCAGCTCCTCCAGCTCCTGCTCCTGCCGCTCGTCCCGCTCCAGCAGCGAGTCCAGGCGCTCCCCGTTCACCCAGATGGAGAAGGGGGACGAGTGGTTCAGGAATTCCTCCAGCTGGGAAGGGCGGGCGGGAATGTCGGCGGCGGGATCGGGGAGAAACCCGCCCCCCTTCCCAGTGTCCCGCTGTGGGATCTCCCTCGCCTGCCCACCCTCTGGATAGTGGGAATGGGAACGGGATCAGGGCAAACTCCACCCCATTCCCAGTGTCCCTGGGATCCCTCAGCCTTCAGCCCTCTGGATAATGGGAATGGGAACAGGGGCAGGGCAAACTCCGCCCCATTCCCAGTATTCCTGGGATCCCTCAGCCTTAACCCCTCTGGATAGTGGGAATGGGAACAGGGTCAGGGCAAACTCCACCCCATTCCCAACGTCCATGTGAGCTGTGGGATCCCTCACCTGCCCACCCACTGGATAACGGGAATGGAAACAGGGTCAGGGCAAACTCCACCCCATTCCCAGTATCCCTGGGACCCCTCTCCTTTCAGCCCTCTGGATAATGGGAATGGGAACGGGGGCAGGGCAAACTCCACCCCATTCCCAGTGTCCCTGGGACCCCTCACCTTTCAGCCCTCTGGATAATGGGAATGGGAACAGGGTCAGGGTAAAATCTGCCCCATTCCCAATATCCTGGTATGCTGTGGGACTCCTCACCTGCCCACCCTCTGGATAATGGGAATGGGAACGGGATCAGGGCAAACTCCACCCCATTCCCAGTGTCCCTGTGAGCTGTGGGATCCCTCGCCTGCCCACCCTCTGGATAATGGGAATGAGAACAGGATCAGGGCAAACTCCACCCCATTCCCAGTGTCCCTGGGACCCCTCAGCCTTCAGCCCTCTGGATACTGGGAATGGGAACAGGATCAGGGCAAACTGCCCCATTCCCAGTGTCCCTGTGAGTTGTGGGATCCCTCACCTGCCCACCCTCTGGATACTGGGAATGGGAACAGGGTCAGAGCAAAATCTGCTCCATTCCCAATATCCTGGTGTGCTGTGGGACCCCTCACCCTTCAGCCCTCTGGATATTGGGAATGGGAACAGGATCAGGGCAAACTCCACCCCATTCCCAACGTCCATGTGAGCTGGGGGACCCCTCACCTGCCCACCCTCTGGATAATGGGAATGGGAATGGGATCAGGGCAAACTCCACCCCATTCCCAGTGTCCCTGTGAGCTGTGGGACCTGCCAGCCCTCTGGATAACGGGAAGGGGAGCGGGATGAGGCCAAAATTCCCCCCATTCCTGGCATCCCAGTATGCCGTGGCCCCCTCACCTGCTCGACCACCAGTTAATGGGAAGGGGACCGGGATGAGCCCAAACTCGGCCCCATTCCCAGTATCCCTGTGAGCTGTGGGACCTGCCCGCCCTCTGGATAATGGGAAGGGGAGCGAGCTCCTCATTCCTGGGATCCCAGTATGCCGTGGCCCCCTCATCTGCTGGACCACCAGTTAATGGGAAGGGAACCGGGATGAGCCCAAACTCGGCCCCATTCCCAATATCCCTGTGAGCTGTGGGACCCCTCTCCCNAAAAAAAAACCCTAAATATCTCAAAAAACCCAGCCCAGAACACCCCTAAAAACCCAGCCCAGAACATCCCAAAAAAACCAGTCCAGAATATGCCAAAACACCCAACCCTAAATATCTCAAAAACCCAGCCCAGAATATCCAAAAAAACCACAAAAAATATCCAGAACATTCCAAAAAATCCAGCCCAGAATAGTCCAAAAAACCTAACCCTAAATATCCCAACCCAGTCCAGAACATCCCAAAAAACCCAGCCCAGAACATCCCAAAAACCCAGCCCAGAATATCCCCAAAACCCAGAACAGAATATTGAAAAAAACCGCCCAGAATATTCCAAAACACCCAACCCTAAATATCCTCAAAAAACCCCCAGAACATCCCAAAAAAAACAGCCCAGAACATCCCAAAAACCCAACTCTAAATATCCCAACCCAACCCAAAACATCCCAAAAACCCAACTCAGAACATCCCAAAAACCCAACTCAGAACATCCCAAAAACCCAGCCCAGAATATTCCAAAAAACTGGCCCAGAACATCCCAAAAAACCCAGACCAGAATATCCCAAAACACCCAACCCTAAATATCCCAAAAAAACCCAGAACATCCCAAAAAACCCAGAACAGAACATTCCAAAAAGCCCAGCCCAGAACATCCCAAAAAACCCAGAACAGAATATTAAAAACACTGGGCCAGAAGATCCCAAAAACCCAGAACAGAACATCCCAAAAAACCTCAGCCCAGAACATCCCAAAAAACCCAGCTCAGAATATCCCAAAAACCCCAACCCTAAATATCCCAAAAAAACCCAGAACATCCCAAGAAAACCAGCCCAGAACATCCCAAAAAACCCAGCCCAGAACATCCAAAAAACCCCAACCCTAAATATCCAAAAACCCCCAAGAACATCCCAAAAACCCGGAACAGAACATCCCAAAAAACCCAGCTCAGAATATCCCAAAAACCCCAACTCCAAATATCCCAAGAAACCCAGAACATCCCAAAACCCCAGAACATCCCAAAAAACCCCAGCCCAGAACATCCCAAAAAAACCAGCTCAGAATATCCCAAAAACTCCAACTCTAAATATCCCAAAAAAACCCAGAACATCCAAAAAACCCAGAACAGAATATTCCAGAACACCCAACCCTAAATATCCTCAAAAAACCTGAATATCCCAAAAAACACAGCTCAGAACATCCCAAAAAAACCAGAACATCCCAAAAACCCAGCTCAGAATATCCCAAAAACCCAGCTCGGAATATCCCAAAAAACCCCAGAACATCCCAAAACCCCAGAACAGAACATCCCAAAACACCCAATCCTAAATATCCTCAAAAACCCCCCAGAACATCCCAAAAAACCCAGAACATCCCAAAAAACCCAGAACATCCCAAAAGACCCAGAACATCCCAAAAAAACCCAGAACATCCCAAAAAACCCAGCTCAGAATATCCCAAAAACCCCAACCCTAAATATCCCAAAAAAACCCCAGAACATCCTAAAAACCCAGAACAGAACATCCCAAAAACCCAGCTCAGAATATTCCAAAAAACCCAACCCTAAATATCTCAAAAAAACCCCCAGAACATTCCAAAAACTCAGCCCAGAACATCCCAAAACCCCAGAGCATCCCAAAAACCCCAGAACATCCCAAAAACCCCAGAACATCCCAAAAAAGCCCCATCCCCGCCAACAGCGGAGCTTCGCTATTCCCAAACCGCCCCGGGAATTCCTCCCAAACCCGGCCAAGAAGCAGGAGGGGGCGGGAGGGCGAGGATTTCTGGGAATCTCATCCCTAAATCCCGGTCGGCTCCCGGGGAAAGCCGAGCCCCGGCTCACCTGGGCCGATCCCAGCCCAGGGATGCTCCCAGCTCCCCTGGGCCTCCTCCAGCATCCCGCGGGTCAGCTCCAGGAGCGGCTGGAAGAGGTGCTGGAAGCCGTGCTGGGGGTGCAGGGGATGCCGGAAAAAGGGATAGAGATCCCGGGAAAAGCGGCGGGCCGGCGGGAGCCGCACGCGCTGCACGGGGGGGGGGCGGAAGGATTCCCGGAAAGGTTCCCGGAAGGATTCCCGGAAGCCCCCGAAGGGCGCCTGGAAGAAGGGGAGCGCGCGGCCGAAGGGGCGGGAGCCGTCCTGGAAAATCCCGTCGATCCCGTCCTCCAGGAGCCCGAAGCGCTCCTCCAGCTCCTCCAGCTCCTGCTCCTGCCGCTCGTCCCGCTCCAGCAGCGAGTCCAGGCGCTCCCCGTTCACCCAGATGGAGAAGGGGGACGAGTGGTTCAGGAATTCCTCCAGCTGGGAAGGGCGGGCGGGAATGTCGGCGGCGGGATCGGGGAGAAACCCGCCCCCCTTCCCAGTGTCCCGCTGTGGGATCTCCCTCGCCTGCCCACCCTCTGGATAATGGGAAGGGGAACAGGGGCAGGGCAAACTCCACCCCATTCCCAGTGTCCCTGTGAGCTGTGGGACCTGCCCGCCCTCTGGATAATGGGAAGGGGAGCGAGCTCCTCATTCCTGGGATCCCAGTATGCCGTGGCCCCCTCATCTGCTGGACCACCAGTTAATGGGAAGGGAACCGGGATGAGCCCAAACTCGGCCCCATTCCCAATATCCCTGTGAGCTGTGGGACCCCTCTCCCATCATCCCAGAGCCACTGATGGAAAGGGACTGGGATGAGCCCAAACTCTGCCCCATTCCCGGTGTCCCAGTGAGCTGTGGGACCCTGCACCCCCCATCCCGGAGCTGCCAATGGAAAGGGGAGCAGGGCCAGCCCAAAATCTGCCCCCTCTTCACATCAGGATCTCTCCCCTTCAGGTGATGGGAAGGAGAGCAGGACCAGCCCAAACTCGGCCCCATTCCCAGAATCCCTGTGAGCTGTGGGACCTACCAGGCTTCTGGATAATGGGGAGCAGGATCAGCCCAAAATCCACCCCATTCCCAATATCCCTGTGAGCTGTGGGACCCCTCACCCGCCATCCTGGAGCCACTAATGGAAAGGGGACCGGGATGAGCCCAAACTCTGCCCCATTCTCGGTATCCCTGTGAGCTGTGGGACCCATGGGAAGGGAGCAGGATCAAGCCAAAATCCAACCCCTCCCCAATATCCCTGTGACTCCTCTCCTGCCATCCCGGAACCACTAATGGGAAAGGGACCGGGATGAGCCCAAACTCGACCCCATTCCCGGTATCCCAGTGAGCTGTGGGACCCCTCTCCCGCCACCCCGGAGCCACTGATGGAAAGGAACCGGGATGAGCTCAAACTCCGCCCCATTCCCGGTATCCCTGCGTTCTGTGGAACCCCTCTCCCGCCATCCCGGAGCCGCTAACGGGAAGAGGACCGGGATGAGTCCAAATTCCTCCCCATTCCCGGTATCCCTGCGTTCTGTGGAACCCCTCTCCCGCCATCCCGGACCCGCTAACGGGAAGGGGAGCGGGATGAGCCCAAATTCTTCCCCATTCCCGGTATCCCTGCGTTCTGTGGGACCCCTCTCCCGCCCTCCCGGAGCCGCTAACGGGAAGAGGACCGGGATGAGTCCAAATTCCTCCCCATTCCCGGTATCCCTGCGTTCTGTAGGACCCCTCTCCCGCCCTCCCGGACCCGCTAACGGGAAGAGGACCGGGATGAGCCCGAATTCCTCCCCGTTCCCGGCGCGCCCGCGGCCCGTCCCTGACCTGGCGCCCCACGAGGCCGGAGCCGCTGTGGCAGGTCCGGGAGTAGAAGCGGACGCAGGAGCGCTTGAGGCAGGGCTTGCACTGCTCCCACAGCGCCTGCACCGTGTCGTTGCACTCGTCCTGCCGCGCCGCCAGCTCCCGCTCCTTCTGCCGCGCCAGCTGCACCGCTTCCTACCGGGAATCGCGGCCTCAGCCCCGCCACCGGGACGGGCCGGCTCCCGGCGGGAACCCGCCCCCGGGATGCACCCACCGGCCCCCCCGGGATGGCATCATCCTGCTCC